TGTGTGTGTGTGTGTGTGTGTGTGTGTGTGTGTGTGTGTTCAACTTGGCTGAAGATCAGAATGTGCAGGACTTGAGTATACATTTTCCTACTCCTCAGTCTTTATCATCACAAGTGATAGGTTCCATGCATCTTGAAATTCATTCATTCATTCAATCTTGGAAAATCTGAGGAGACTACAAATATATTCTGGAAATTGGACACTTCAGTTTTATTGATTTCAACGTAGATACAATGAATTTATTTTATTTATTACATTTTTATGCCACCCATCTCCCCTACAAGGTAACTCTGAATGTCCAATGAATGAAAACAGTTTTAATTAAATGCAATTTATAAATTCACTTCTGATATCTTTAACAGCTTTTCCAAAATGTCAAGTTGAGAGCAATTTTTCAACAGTCATGGGGACCCTATAGGTCCATGACGGCGAATCTATGCCACGGGTGGCAGGCGGAGCCATATCTGCTGGCATGTGAGCCATCAGCCCCAGCATGCATGCATGTGCCAGTCAGCTGATTTTTAGCCTTTAGGAGGGCCGGGAGGCTGTTTTTGCCCTCCCCAGGCTTCAGGCAATCCCCCGGAGCCTGGGGGAGGGTAAAAACAGCCTCCTCCGGCCCCCCAGAGCCCCATGGAAGCTAGAAATGGATTATGTCTGAACTTCCGGTTCGCCTGTTGTGCCCGTTTTTTGCCCTCCCCAGCCTCCGGAGGCTTTCCGGAAGCCTGGGGAGAGTGAAAACAGCTTCCCCTGGCCCCCTGGAGGAAATACCAAGCTTAGCTTGGAGCCTAGTGCGGTGTGTGGAAGGGGAGCATGTGTGGGTATTGTGCGCGCATGCGCATGTAGAGGCACACTTCACATTATGGATGCCAGCACGCATGTGTGCTATTGCGTGCATGCCCTTGCATTTTTGGCAGCCAGCAACAAAAGGTTAGCCATCACTGCCTTGGGTGATGGTAGAAGTTATCCCTTTAGCTATGCTTCAATTATTTTATAACTTAACCCATGTTTCTTATATGTGTACTGCGTAAACAGAGTTTTAGAATCCAGAACCCCGCTAGGTGCAATAAAGTAGCATAAATCTATATTGTTTGCATGTAAAGAATAATTAATTACAATTCCGTAATTACTCTCTGGTTTACAATGCATGGTAGCACCTAGTCAACTTTGGCTGATACTGTAAAAGCTGGGCAGGTCAGGCCTGAATAGTCCTTGGATGGGAAACCATTAGAAGATCCTTAGGCTGCAGACAAGATGGGGAAAGGTATCGGCATAAACTATAAGGATGATGAACAACATTGGAAAATCGCTATAAAACTGCAGCCAAGAAAATATGGCTGTGTGAATATATGCACTGAAGTCTTACCTTTTACCTTTCTTCCTCTATGTAAAAATGGGTGAGATAGTCCTTTTCCCAAAAGGTAAAATTGATGGAATTGAGTTTTACACCCTCAAAGAACCCAGTTCTAACAGTCTGTGTAGTCTAATAACTAGTTTTACCCAATCTCTTGCCCCAAAGAGTGATGCTTTCTAGCAATTTGTTTTGTCCCCAGTATGGGTTAGAATAGGATGGCATGATGGCTCAGCAGTTAAGATGCTGGGCTTTTTGGCTGGAAAGCCAGCAGCCTGGGTTCAAGACCCAAGTGCCACACAATGGGGTGAGCTCCCGTCCTCTCCCCAGCTCCCGCCAACCTAGCAGTTTGAAAGCATGCAAATGCAAGTAGATGAACAGTACCAATTTAATGGGAAGGTAACAGAAGGAAGCGTCTTCGGACAGTTCAACAGCCTTGAAACTGAGACGAGCACTTTCCCCTAGAGTCAGCAACGACTAGCAGAGTAAAATTTGCAGGGACTCCTTTTATGTGTTAAAATGCAAGATTCCTTAATGCCAACAATTTCTAGATATCGTAGATATTAAGCCTGCCAACATGGAAGAGCTGACGGAGGTAATAACAGCAGCCGAATTCCACCCAAACAGCTGCAATACTTTTGTGTACAGCAGTAGCAAGGGAACTATTCGCCTGTGTGACATGCGTGCGTCGGCTCTCTGTGACAGGCATTCGAAATGTGAGTAGCTTTTTCTCTTCGAATTGAGTTTTACCGCCAGAGCAAATTGGTGTGAAGTAACACACTGGAAAGTCCATTTAACTTCATATCCCCAATTGTAAAATGAAAACAAAGCAGTATAAAATATCTTTGACTCAAGTACTTCCACATCAGGATAGCAAACAAATGATGATAACTAAGAAGGATGGAAGTGAATTTTAAAATTATTCTAACTCTCCAGATACAGGAAGCACACAATCGGACAACAGAAGGAGGAAAGTGGTTAATCCATAAGCTTTGGGGTGGATATGAAGATAAAAAATAGAAAATGTCAATGTGGATCCATTTTGGGGGTGGGGGGTGGGGTGCAGGTGCATATTCCAGGATTTAGCAATCGTTTTAGGCAGAAATACCAGCTGTGCAACGGGGCAAACTCTTGTCTTGAGGATCTCACAAAATCACTATAAAGATTTGCAGGGTTTTGGCACCTTCTTAAATGTTATGCAGGAGGTACTCATTTTTATGTGTGTGCCTCTGTGTTTGCTACAAGCACAATTTTTGGATTCCATTAGCATCTTTTAGGAGATGATGCTACATTACTATCCACTCCCACAAGCCTGTACGCCCATCTTAAACCAAGCTTCTGCTCCTTAACATACACAGGAAAACACATCACATCAGCAGTGTGCTTATATATTTCTATCAAAAATAGGGGTCACCAACCTTTCAGATCTCAGGGACCACTAAATTCATAATTTGAAACTCACGGACCACTAATATGATCTGCCTAATGACTGGCTGGGTGGTGTGGCCAACTCAATGTCACTCACATCAAGGGGCGCCTTGCCAGCCTGTACTCTCCCTTCCCAGCCACTCCTTGCCTACCCACCAGGGCTCCTTAGGGCCCCAACAGGAAGCAGTTGTTGGAACTAAGCAGCCACCATGAGAACGAGTTGGCAAAATAGCTCAGTTCTAATTGGATCTGACCTAGAAGGAGGCTCAGCAGAAGCACCTCACTGAGGACTAGGAGCATAGGCTTTCCAAGCAGAGGGAAGACCTGTGGCAGTGCAAGGCCAGGTACTGGCGCCTGGAGGCTCAGCAGGCTGAGATGGTCAGCTAGTTCCAGGCCATGATGCTGTCATACTGGAACGAGGTCCTTGGGCTCTTCACCACCAGCGGCACTTCCCTCCAGCCTTCGCCCAAAGCTCCATACCAGGAGGCTGAAGCAGACCCCAAGACAGAATTTCTGGCCCCCTCCGACCCATACAAAAAGACCCCAAAGGGGGAAACTCTGTGCAGCAACACAAGCATTCATTGCACGTATCCCGCCCAGGAGCCATAGTTTGAGGACCCCTGATTTAGTGCAATATAAAAATTTAGTGCAAATAATTTTTCTGCGGACCGCCAAAATTTTCTCACGGACTACCAATTGGTGACCGCTGATCTAAAAGATGATTTATCCAGTGGTTGGGCTTCAGTCTCTTTTGGAATGTCTTTTCGAATACTTTTGCTGCTGATAATTAGAAAACTTAATTGCTTCACTGGATTTCTAGACTGCAGAAAGTCAAAGATTATGAGTTACCTGGCTATGGATAATAATTTATAAATATATAATATATCAAGGTCTGCTTCTATCAGTCCTTGGGAATGGGAATAAGGAAAATTGAGCTCAAATTACTTCTGACCCCAAAATCGTTGCTTATTTGGACCTCTGGTGGGTAATTTTTCATCTCAGAAGGATTTGGCTTCCAAGGGTTAATGCTTTAGGTTTTCTGTGTTAATGTGCATAAAAAGGGAAATATTCATGTCATTAAGCTGAGTTTGGGAGATGAATGTTCTTATATTTCACTTGCAGTGTTTGAGGAGCCAGAAGATCCAAGCAGCCGGTCCTTTTTTTCAGAAATCATCTCCTCCATCTCCGATGTCAAATTTAGCCATAGTGGTCGATATATGATGACTAGAGATTATCTGTCGGTGAAAATTTGGGATTTAAATATGGAGAACCGACCTGTGGAAACGTACCAGGTATGCCATACAGATAGACAGTTTGGGGGAATCAACTTGCAATTAATAAAAAATTAAGTCAAGATTTGGTAGAATAGTGAATATAGATGCTATAGAGCACACCCTTATCTCCACAAAGTAATTTTTTTGTTTATTGTTTTAAATAAGAAATAAATAATTCAGAATGTCCTGTGGAACTTCTCTCAAAGGTTCTGATGAAGTTGTAGGTTTTTAAGGTATGTGTGTGTGTGAAACAGGTGAAACTCAAAAAATTAGAATATCGTGCAAAAGTTCATTTATTTCAGTAATGCAACTTTAAAGGTGAAACTAATATATGAGATAGACTCATTACATACAAAGCAAGATAGTTCAAGCTGTGATTTGTCATAATTGTGATGATTATGGCTTACAGCTCATGAAAACCCCAAATCCACAATCTCAGAAACTTAGAATATTACATGCAATCAATAAAACAAGGATTGTACATAGAACAATATCGGATCTCTGAAAAGTATAAGCATGTATAAGGAAGTACTCAGTACTTGGTTTGGGCCCCTTTTGCAGCAATTACTGCCTTAGTGTGGCGTGGCATGGAAGCTATCATTCCTGTGGCATTGCTGAGGTGTCATGGAAGACCAGGATGCTTCAATAGCAGCCTTCAGCTCTTCTACATTG